TAAGACTATCTTATAAAAATGTACCTATAAATAATGTTAATGAATTGAAGATATTGGGAGTTTTCTTTGATAGTAAATATACTTTTAAGTTCCATTGCAATTATATTAGAAAAAACTATTAAACCGCCTTAGCATTGTAAAATACTTTTCCTCAAAAAAGTCCTTTGTACATACTTCTACTCTTTCTAATATTGTTAACTCGTTATTTTTGTCGGTAATTGATTACGCTCTACCAATTTATGGAAGCTGTGCCAAAAGCAACTTGAATGTTCTTTGCGCTCCATATCAAGCAGCTGTGCGGAAAAGCCTACTTGTCTTCACCACTACTCCAGTTTGTAACATTTTGGCTGAATCCGGACTTCCTGGCCTCACGGAACGGGTGGAATATATGACCGTTGGACTTATATACAAAGTTTTTTCCTGCAACAACTCCAACGTGTATAAAAATATACTCAATGCTATAAATAGGAAACGCTTCCCAAAGAGGTTCTCGGCACTACATTTCGTAGTTGCTCTGTCTAGAGAAATGTATATACCGGTTAAACCTACTCGGCAAGCTCACAGTACATACCCACCTTGGAATCTTTCGGACTCGTCATTTATTAATTGTCTTCAGGATTATCAAAAGCAAAATACTTGTGCCCCTATCTACCAGCAAGTTTTCCTCGAGACCAAACTAGAGTTACACTTAAAATCATTCAAATTTATATTTATGGATTGCTCAAAAACTAACTACTCAACGTCCTTCGCAGTTATATCGGAGGATTTACGGGTTTTGAAAAAAGGTTTGCTGCACAATCACTGCTCTCTATTCACCAGTGAAATCTTTGCTATCTATCAAGCTGCTCTAATAGCATCCAAAAACCATGGGTAAATTCTGCATTTGTACAGACAGTCAATCTGCCATCGATGCCGTCAAAAATTTTACCAATAACAGTGTCTTAGTAACTTACGTTCGTGATCTGCTCACCAAGCACGCAAATAAAATGAAATTGATGTGGGTACCTGGTCACTGTGGAATTCAGGGCAATGAACTCGCCGATTCTGTGGCGAAAAGTATTCATGAAGAACCGGCTCTGTGCTTTGACGCCCTTGAAAAAGCCAACTTAAAACGTCTAATAAAGCAGTACGTACATAACAAATCCCTGTTGAAATGGAATGAATTCGTTTATCATTATGCGGCAATTAATCCTACCAGAGCAAAGCCTATATACCCCACGAACTCCAAATATTCAGACATTTTGTTATTCACAAGGCTTCGCCTATAATAATTTAAACGGATCCTGCTGCTTTTGTAGGTCCTCTAGGACATCAGTAAAACATATACTAGATGCATGCCCCCAATTTACGAATACAAGGCGAAGGATGTTTGGCACGACTCTCCCATCGAAACTGCTAACTAATATAACATCGTCGAATATAAGTACTATATCTAACTTTCTTATAACATGTAACAAAGCACATTTAATCTAAGATAAACTGTACAATTTATATATTAATGATTTTGCTATTTTCTGTATATTTATATGCTCAAAATAAATATGAATCTTAATTTACTCTTATCGGTTAAGTTTATATCACAATGTAATATTTGTGGAGGTGTAATAAAACTAAGGTGGCTTGTGCCCATACATATATGTTAATATGATGCCAAATTTGATTGTATTGTAATCACTATTGCCGCGAATAATGAAGTTATGCCCGTTCAGTTTTTTTAATATTGCCAACACTTAAGGGAATTTGGCCGGCATTGAGACGCGCAATTTGGAATAGTATATAATGTTCGGTTATACTAGTACTTGACCTTTCTTACTTGTTAGTGTTTGCAATTTTCGAACTCTCAAAATTACATTTCCCTAACCCAAACACATTTACTTTATTTAATAAATCGATTTATGTACGGCTTTTCATTAATGAAAACTTTTAATTATATATGAATATTAATTTATTACATTAAAGCTTAGCTGAGAGCTCTCAGAAACAGTTATACTTATGTATGTATGTATGTACATAGGCGTATGTATTTATACTCAAGTAATTAATCATTGCAATTAACAAAGCTTAATTCAATCATGAATTAATTTTGAACAAGCACTTGAAACTTATAGCCAATAAGTTTGTAAAT